ACAAGTAACATTAAACTGTACGGAACGGGGTCACATGTTAATCCAGATTCGCGAAGAAATACAGATGACCATCAATGCCTATAAAGAACTGTACGAAAGCGTATTAGCAAATGGGATTCGGAAGTTATTACGGGCAAGTATTATAATATTATATTTTGCTTATATACAAGTATTATTAGGTAAAATATTATCGTAATAGACAATTCCGGGGCCACACAATTATTGGCCATTATGAGGAACAATTATGTTTTTAACTAATGGGTTCTAAAAAAACACTTTTTAAGACTTACGCAGATGAAACAAACCTTATAAATAGATAGTTAAATATTATTTTAAGTTAAATCGTATACATAGGTTTATAGAAAATACCTATAACTCATATGATTTTATTATGACCTTAACAGCTATTAAACCTACTACATTGAAACTATTATAAGTACTAAATTACTATATACTAATATAATAGTATTATGCTTGCAATCGAATGAGAAGCTATATAGCAATTCAATCTAAAACCATATGACTAGTTTTAATTACTCACATCTAGTTGATAGCAATTAAAACGAAGATCACAATAATATCATCTATACAAATATTCTCAGCATTTCACAATTTCACATAGGTACTTATTACAGCCATTTAATGATTTAGCGGACCCGCGTGTGTCGTAACTCGTAATGCAACTACATAGACACATAGTTAACTAAATTAAATATTGTAATCAGAAGTACCTAGTGTCCTATGGGCTATAGTCTATACCGTTTAAATCACATGATAAGGAATGCCCCGAAATTATTAGTCTACGTGTGACTAAATTTACAGCTGTTTTATTAATGTGCATCTATAATACCTCTAGTCTGATTATAGACTATTGTATACTTATAATTTATATACCTACATTTTAAGCATGCACTTATTGCAATCAAGTAACCTACCTACTCAAATTCAGCAACTCATTTAGTTTTTGTTTTTAGAGGGAACACAAAAAATCCGATTTATCAACCCGAGCGAAACAGCTGACTTCCGAAAACGAAAATTTAGAGATCGAGCTTGCCGAAATTTATTCGATGACAGAGAAGCTTGAACTTGACGCGGCTGAACAGCGTGACGCGGAGACCAAACGCCAAGCCGAAGAGTTGGCATCTCTGAAAAAAGCCAATAAACTGATTAAAGTAACAGAGGATATAATATAATAATATAAATTCCTGTAGGAGAATTTAAATCTAACTATAAATAATTATGCATCAAAACACTAGATAGTAGTTTATAGTGATACAATTGGAGGTGGGTGTTAATATACCCAAATGTATTTATATATATGGTTTTACTATAAACAAAATATATAAATTACACGTAGGTATTGTGAATTTGTATACTCTATAGTCTATACCATAATATTCTTGTATAGGATTAAAGGTACTTAAGTATGAATATGATAATGTATTTATGATATTTGCCAATATTTATGGACCATGGTATATTGTCTATTTCACTCGTACCAAGTTTAAATATTCTTATAGGTAATTATCTAACTGATATTTAATAGTTCGATGTTTTTTGACCCTAATACATTTAATACATTCACATTTTCTGAAAACAATCTTAGTGTACAGTTGTATTTCCTTTGTTATACGGAGGTGTCCATAACAGTACACGCTGCTTGTGCCAATACTAATACGTTGGTAGTTATAGTTACCATACACAAAAATGGCACTTTACCGCCTACAACTTCATATAAACTCGTACCTCGTCTTGGCTATGTATCTAAATTAAAATTACTACTCTCCTTGGATAAATTATTAGAAATTATTCGGTTCAAATCATAATAAATTATTTATACTATATTATATTATTTATTAGTGAGTACCTACCTAATATGATAATAGTTGTCAATATATATGTGCAATTTATCCCATCGTGATTTTTTTTAACGTGTGTACGTAATTGGAAAACGACTGTTGGCTTGTTATAATACATTACCTATGCCTATATATTGTATACCTATATTATGTATATCATGTGTTTTTAGATTCAATTGGAGTCAATCATCTCCCCGAAAAGAGTTTAAAACTAAAACAGCTGCCGAAAACATGATCTTCTATACCTAAAGTTATGTATGGTGTGTAGAAGAACAGGATGATGTGTGATTGCAACATATTGTTCATATTATTATAACCGCATAAATAATAAAATACATTTTCGATGAGCATAATATATTATATACCAACCTCTAAGACTTTCGATTTTAATTTAATGAATGATTTAATGCAAATATGCGGTGATTATTATTTTTTTTTATTTATTCAATAATAATAAGCCTTGGCGTCTCCATATTGTTCACAATGTCTTAAGGTACAGTATTAATTACATAAACAAATTATAAAATATTGATAAGATTGGTCTTAATTAAAAAGGTCATCATGTGACTTATGTTATCTGGCTGGAGGGCTCCAACATAATATTTGATACTCCAGCTTCTCGTTTGTCCGCTTCATAGGAACGGGCATTCAGATACAGTGTGTTTGATTGACAGGATTGTATCGCAACTGGTGCGGGTGAGCATTACTTCTTCATCAATCATCAATGACTGCTGTGTTAGCAACGTGTGTTCTATACGCGTTATATGTATTGTGGTTTCCATCTTCCTTGAGAATTCCGGTGGAGAGGGCCATATGTGGATGGTATTTTTTTCCTATAAATTAAATTTTTTTTATCCGTTGGGTAAAAAATATTTAAAATGTAATACAAGGCCTATGATATTATATTGTTACAATAACTTATTTGTGACTTATTTATTAGATCATAGATCTTATGAGGCTATCCAGCTGTTTTGTATATCTATGCAGTATACTCTTCAAGTCGGCTATCTAGTTGTTTTATATACCTATCTACTAGCTGATCCTGTGCACTTCGTTACCCGGCAACCAATAATTATTATTATAAGAGTTTCAAAACACATGGCAACCATTTATAAACCAGTGGCGTCCCTAGGACCCTTTTATAGCAGGGTACAAGCATGGTCTGCTTGCCTTTAATATATTCAGCCCCCCAAGTCAAAAGTTGAAATTGCGCCTATGCATATACCTATAATTATCGAAAATGATAAAATCAAATTATAGTAGCCTTATTGGGTTAAAACTGAAAGGACTTTTTTTTTTATAAAAAGGTATTTTTTTTATAAGGATTAATTGACTTTTTCTTATTTCAATTTTTTTTCAATTCATTTTTGATAATTTTCTGTCTAATTTAATATGAGACCATAATAGATATATACCTAGTATAATAAGAGACTGAAATATAATTTATTTTACTTTTAAATTTTGATCTAGTCTAGACATTAAAAAAAAGTATTTTTGATGGTTTAAAATACAAAATGTATAAACTTATTTTTCATGTAAAATTCAATATAATAAAAAATTAAAATAACCTTATGAACAATTGAATTCTGGATATAAAAACAGGTTGACTGATCATATTATAACAAGGAAATAAATATGTCAAGTTATTCATTATTTAATATTAGAATCTTAAATAACAATCACTTATAACCTTAAGTCTTAACACTAAAAACTAAAGAAACTGTAGACTATTGTACTGTCTCTCATAATATATTGTAATATACATATTACATATGGGATATTCCCAATATTCCCATACATCAATTTATATTTTTTACATAATAAACAAATAAATTTAACAGAAAACTATACAAATTAAAATGCAGTAATAGTAATTGTTTTGGGTTAGTACTTAGTATCTTATGGTGGAAATAAGCAAGGCTGGGCATTAACGAGTTAATAAGTTAAAGTTAAGTTAAAAAGTTAAGTTACCTACTTTTAACTAAGTTAATTAACGAGTTACTTTTTTTTCTAACTTAACGATTTACATTTTTCCCCATGTTATTCAGTAACTTAACGAGTTAATTAATTTTATTGGCACGTTAAGTTAATTTTTTCCCAAACCACATATTATTTAAAATTAATTCAATTTTGTAAAATTAATTACATAAAAAAAACCCGAAATATTAAATATATTTTATTAAATAATAATTTATAATAATAATAGTAAGTTTTTATATTGCATATTCACAGAAAATATTTTATAACTATATTTTTAGAGGGAAATATCATAGAGATGACTCTAACCGCGTCAAAGAAAAATATAACAATTTACTCAGTACCTATCCCATACACGACATATCACCTAACCTATACCTAATCATTATTAATATCATTACCTACTTAATTATATTTTTATTCATTCATAGAATTACGGTGATAACTTGGCCCGTCGATGTAAATAATACCCGTAGTAGCGTGGTATTTACTATTTACCTAATTAAAGTATAATACACAAAATTAATATAAGTACCTACAGTAACTAATTTTATTACAAACATTTATTCAAATATTGTAAGACATTTTTTGATTTATTGAATTATTATGTTATTTGTTAGCTTTAAAAAAGGTAGGTAGGTATAATTGTTAATTTTATTTTAAAAAAAAAGTAACTTATTTTAACTAAGTTAAGTTACTTTTATTTTCTAATTAACTTGTAACTTTTACAAGTTAAAAAAAAAATGAAGTTAACTTTTAACTTTAAACTTAACTTACATTTTTCTATATTAACTTAACTTAACGAGTTCAAAAAAATAGTTAACTTGCCCAGCCTTGGAAATAAGTTTACTAAAATTATTTAGAAAACTGTATAATATACATTTAGAATACAAACAGTTATAATGTAATATACTAATTACAAATAAAACATAACATAAATTTTTATCAATTTTTTTTCTGTTTTTTAGACAACACAACATTTTGTTGTTCTTGTTCCTGTTCAAATATTCTATCTCTGACTATTAACAAATTTTGAATACTTGTTTTTTTATAAAAAATGTATTTTACAATATTAAACTACTAGGATATACCAAATACATAAAAATATTTATACATACTTATTTTTATTTTGAAACAGCCTGTTAGTCTTAACCAGTAACTGATCTACCAAATTTTTAGATGACACACTGGTTCGATAAGGAGACAATATGAATTTGAGCCCAGAAAACAATCATTATCTTTTTCTTGAAGAAAAGTTTCAAGTTCATCTGAATAATCCATTGGAGTTAAGTCATTATCATTGCCTTCTATAGTTTGACTTTTCGTAGAACCAACAAACTCAATTTCTTTTTGTTCTAATTCTTTTATATGAACCCAGACATTAATTAAGTGCTCAATAGCAATAGTGGACTGTTTTTGAGTCAACATACATTTAAAACGGGGATCCTGATATATAGCGGATAATAAAACGGTTGTTCATTATACGTTGTTCTCTTATAATTAAACACTGCGCTAAATTATATGAAAAATTTGTATTCAATGATTGTGTTTAAATTTTACAAGTTAGCCATGCTCCATAAAAATCTGTTAATGTCAGCTGTTCAGATTGCAACTTTTTAGTACATATCTTGGCAGGTAGTAAAGCTTTGCACAGGGCATCTACTTGTTGCCATTCAAAATTACTCATGCACAATTTGCTCAATTTTGAATCATTAGCTGACATGTTTAAAATAAAAGGTTTTAAATATTGTACTCTTTCAAGCATGTCCAAGGTAGAATGCCATCTAGTCAAGCAGTCCAGAACTGGTGACTTTAATTTTTCTTTTTTAATAAGATATATGTAAGTTTGGTTTCTTAGCTTCTTAACTAAGATTCTCACCTTGTTTAATAGTTTTTCAACAGTACTACCTTTGAGACAATCAATTACTGCTAATTGAAGCGTATGAGCTACACAGCGTATACCTGCAATAAAATGAAAAAACTATTAATTCTAAATATTAATAAATATTAATTCTATCTCCATTGGATTAAATTAATAACATAATTTTAAAGTTTAAACATAAATACAATTATTTGAGCTAATTTAACTGCTGATGCGTAAAAATATAAAATGAATTCAATACTCGCGAAGTATATGTGTCATAATCATTTAATTGCTTGTGTAATATTATAAAAATAACAGTAGAAAAGTATATACCTATGGAATACTATTTTAATTATAATAGTATTTTGATAATAATTATATAAATTTCTATTTATCTAGATTGGGGCAAAACCTCCTTTCCCAATTATATATTGAATAATAAGTAACAGAAAATGATTTCTTCGATGAGCTATTAAATGGTCTAAGCCCTAAGGTATGCTGCAAGGCTGTTTCTCAAACTTAAATTTGTCGCGCTATTTAAATTTTAAGGAGTGTCATTTATTGGGTTTTCCAAACAAGAACCAATATTTTTTACAATATATTATTTAGCTGATTTTAAACTAAAAATCTAAATAATAATAATTAAAACAGGGTCTTTAAGCATATTCGAGAATTCCGATAATCAGAATTTTAATAAATATTAAATACATTATTAAAGAAAAAAGTGGGGATGGCATAGTGAGTCTTAATGGATAAATATTATAAAATAAATATCAATAACCATGTAAACTTATATTTATAACAATCCATTTGCAAATATACCAACTTAGTAAATAGGTGTAGGAGAAATGTTTACACAGTAAAATAACAAAGAGAAAATAATATGAGCTACAGAATCACTATAAAAAATGTATGTCTAGTTGTGCTTATGCAACATATCACAAGAAATATTAAAATATAATAATATTATTTGTTTATTTAATTTAAATATTTTTAAATGAGTTAAAATATATGTTTGTAATTATGTATAAACTATGAATTATACTTAATGAACTATTTGCGAGACTATTTTGTGAGTTTCAATAACTATAGTTAACATTTAAAAAGTTATTTTATTTATAGCCTCTGAAGAGTAATCTATTAACAGACTTACCAGTAAAAATCTCAATCTCCCCACCAATATTTTGGGCAACAATATCAGATACAATTTTTTCTGTTTTTTTTCATATTGTTCATCAACATCATCAAAGTTTTCATTTAATAAATCAGATATTTCTCCATCATCAAGACCTGGATTGAACTATTGAAGGTTGACACATTTTCAAGATCACTAAAAAAAAATGTATCATATATTTTATAATTTTTTTTACAACATATGAGTAAAAGTATTACTTGTTATTATCATTATTGTCATCTGATGTTGAGGTAGTATCACTATCATAATTTATTAACTCATATACAGTCTCTAAGTCATTATTTTTAGAAATCTGTTTCACACTCATTTTCAAAGAAATCAATATCTTTAAGCATATTTGCTCGGTATCTGATGTAATAGTATATACTTGATTTATGTCAATTTTAAATTTTTTAAAGACATTTAAAATTGTATATTTCAAATATATAAATAAAATATAAATTTTAAAGCGTTTGAAATTAATTTTGAAAAACTGAAAAACATTCCATTACCAACACTAAATGTATACTTTACCTTTATGTGACTCGGTAAGTTCTATTAAGCCAATAGTCTTCAGTTTAATACTATCATCAACAATATATTGAATGTTTATTCCTAGGAATGCTCTGTTCAGCCGCGTGACTGCATCTAATTTTAAGCTTATTGGCTTAAAATGTATGTCTTTCATTATTGTTTTTTTATCTTATCACATTCTTCGTGTAAATATTTTCTATGAAATAAGCACAGAACTATAAATTATTAGAAGTTAAAAAATATTTACTGAGTTACAATGTTCTTACCTAATGGACTCTGAATTTGTAACAACACTATGTTTTACACCATTCAAAACTGGATCCAGTATCTTTCGTAGTCCTAAATCATTCAACATACTGAATGGATGCCCATTTACCATGACAAGTTCAACACAAGCAACTATTATATCTCTCATAGATATTGATACTTGTACATTTGGTTTTGAAAAGTTAAAAAGTCTATGATGTGCTTCACTTTTCAAATTTGGCTTTAAATGGTTTTTTTGAAGGCTTTTTTCTGATTCAAGTTGTTTGAACTTTTCAAACAAATCAACATGTATACTCAAATGCTTTTTTTAAATTGGTTCCATGCTTTCCCTATAATGATTCATTAATTTTAAATTTGAATTATTATCAATAGGTATGTTGTAAAATTTTACTTAACATACTATGTAATCAATCAAATAAACAAAATTTAAACATTTAAGATTAAAAAGTACCTATATTTTAACTTTCAAATCAAATGAGTAGCAATTTTACTAAGAAAAAAACTATTTCTCAATACAAATTATAAATAAGGCAATAGAAGTATAGAACAATTTTTCAACAAAATATAGGTAGATACTCGATAAGTACTTTTCAAACAATCATTTTTTTAAATTTAAACGGCTACAACCATCTAAGATAAAATATACTATATTATAATATATACTTTGATAGTTAAAAGATGAAATTGAAGGTACTAAGGTAGTATAACGGTATATGTACTTATGTATTAATGACTACCTACCAAAAAAATGACCAATAAAATGACAAATAAATAAACTTACTTTTACTTTACCACTGTAGTCTTTACATACAGATAATTTACTATTTGTATCGTATGAAAAATACTCATAAATTGTCGATTCTGGTAATCGACCCATTGCTCAAGTTTCAGTTCTCACGTTGTACTGACGTCTGAGTGTCTGATTGCAACTGCATATATACTTGTCACAAATCACAAATCACAATTCACAACACAAACAGAAAATTGTATGACTTATGTCAACAACCAACAATTAATTACTAGATAGAAGCAGTCTGTGCTCAACATGACACTATTACCACATTAATTGATTGGTTGTTATTTGTTTTTGTATGATAGGTACTATGATATGCTATTTTTAGTGGTAGACACTGCCAAATAACGACTTTCAAATAATTCGAATAGTCAATAAAATAAAGGTATTCAATTGTGCACTTTACTCAATAGATTAAAATAAGAATAAACGAACATTGCGAATTGCGATATTAAATTTGATAAATGTTGTCAAAATTTTATCTTTAAATGCTTATAAAAAAAATTGTGACAATGTATTTTTAATATTTTTCAACTGCTATTGTAACAATATATCAGGAGCCTTATATTAAACTTTTACACTTTTTGGCCCAACAGATAAAACTTTATTTATATTCATAGAAAAAAAAAATAAAAAAATTTAAAACTGACAATGCCCGTAAACAACTCAAAACAATAGTCAAAATATTTTGAAAATTTTATCAAGTATAAAAATAAATTTTATTTTAATAAATTGAATTTTTCATGAATCTAGAGTCATTCGTTATTGAATTATATCTAATTTCTCCTTTGAGATCAACAATATTTTTAGTTTTTATTTCAATCGTTTCTAATAAAAAATTTTTCGCTAGATCATAAAACTTGAAAATGTTATACAAGGTGTATGACTTTTGTTTCAAGATGTTTTCATAGTGAATTACAAAAAAAATAAGTGTAATTCCACAATATTTTTTTATTAGGATTTAAAGTTTAAATGTTCACAAAACCCATCAAAATCACAAACATTTGCATATTATTTTGTAGTTAAAAATGTAGGTTTCTCATAACTCATAAGTACCTAGTTAGTGGTGTAAAAATCTAAATAAACATACCTACTAACACAGTTTTTTTATAGTTTTTTATAGAAATTTTATATTAAAATTTGGACTAAATTAGATGATTGATTGAAGTATTAATAAAATATATAATCTGTAAGAAAATAAAAATAGGTAAATAAAATAGGTTCCCTACAAAATACAGTATAAATATTGTGTACCAGAATGTTAAACAAAGATTTAATTGAAGTTTACACATTTAATACGTTAAACATTTAACATATAGGCTATAGTATCAGTTTCAAAAAAAATGTAACTAGTTACTCAACTTAATTTTAATTTTTTTTTGCTTATGGGGACATTTTGTAATGTCTAGGTAAGTTTTTTTAAATGATTTTTTCTGACTGCACAAACTTAATCCCACTATTGGATTATAGTAGAGAATTTTTCTATGCAAACCAAACCTTACGGTAATATTTACTTAAAATAAGTAATTTTTTTTTTATTATAATTTCAACGCTTTGATTATTACCATAGCAACGAATAAAAAATTATAATATTATAATATTAATTCAACTTACAGGCTATAATAAATAATAATGATTTAAAATATCCAGACTGAAAAACCGTCTCCGCTCAGAATCGTTTTCCTTATATAATGATATTATATCATTTAATTCAAGTTTAGTACAATCCATTAAACATTGACCCACTTGTAACTTACTGTACAACTAGGTACTCTGTATTATGTTTGGGACTTGTA